ACCTGAAGTGTGTTGCATCTCAAGTTCCATTTCAGGTCTTTGCTGTTCCCCCCATACAGATGTTGTTCCATCTGTTGTAAATTTTTTGGTTCATATTTCCTAATGTTATTAGGGACACACTGCACAGATAACCAAAATTTGCCATGTTTTTAAGCTAACAGTTGAGTGAAAAAGCAGCCCAAGTCCAAGAAAAGCTTTGAAAGATCTTAAGATGGAGAACTACCAATAAAGACGGTTTTAAATTTTCAGAACATTAATCAACGAGGAAGCGTCAGTAAAGTATTCCAGGTTTAAAACTACAAACTAATTTCAACTGTTGTTCAGTAATTAATGCAAATAATACTGGGTGTATTGTCTCATACTAAACTAAGCATCATTGACTTAATAGTTTATTTGCAACATTTCCCCTACCATTATTCACTCAAAAACCGAGCTGAGCTCCTCCCTGTCTCTCTCACACATTCACACACACACACCGCAGTCAGACACGGTCCCATTCAGGAGCATTAACCTTAAGGGCCTAGATTATAATTGGTCTTTAAAATGTGGTAAATAAATTATTCTCAGTGACTGAGAGGAAGTTTTTGATAGTTGCATTTTCTAACTGTTATCTGTTATATCTACAACAGTTAAAGTTCTTCTAGAGTTCTAATGATTATTAGAAAGGACATGATTTGAGGATTTTACTGATAATATTTTATTTAAAACGTTACAAGTCATAAGAAGCAGGTTTATCTTGAATAAACATTTAAACGTCTTCATTTCTACAAAACTGTCAAATATATTTACAAACAACACCAGGGTTTCCCCTAGGATTTTTTTTTAACCGTGGTGGTGTGGTGACCTTTAATGGGTGGGTGCCTAAATGGAAATTGAAATTTAATTTAATACGTATATRGTTATGTATACAAAGTTTACTATATACAAATGTTCTCAGTCAGCAGGTTGACAGTTTCAGGAGRTGCTTGWGTAAAACTCCCTCMTTCTCCTCATCCTCTTTGAAATGGAGACCAAAAATCAACATCCATAATAAGCTTTCTGCTTACAGGTCAAACATTTTTATTCAAATAAGAGTAAACTGTGTACATGACCTTATTAAAAGTTCCAGTTTAGTGTTCTCTTAGGACTGAAGACTTTCTGAGGAAAGAGGTTTTTAAACATCTTTTCTATCATTTTAGTGTATTCAACTGAGGAGCTTTGATATATTTATTTGAAATTATTTAAATTATTTGACAGTTTTTTTTAACCAAACTGACAGTGTAATTTAAAGGCATTGAAACACCTGGTTAAATTTAGAAGATATGATTAACTACAAACATCTGAAACTGACTCAGACAACTCTGTAATTTTAGAAAAAAATAAGTCAAATATAGACAGAGCTTTAAAAGACCCCCCTCCCCCTCACCCCATGCAGCTGCAGTCCACCTGCACCTCCGCTCCGCCCGCGTGTGATTAATACAGATTTTTTGCACAAATTACAGATATTTGACGCTCATTATATAAGTTACCGTCTGAAGGGGTTGATATGTATGAAGTCCCGGGCTGGTCGGAGCTGTGCTGTGCATGGAGAGGTGCAGCAGCTGCGGTCAAACTGCCTCTCAGCCCTCGGTTTAAAACCAGTCAGGTGATCTGTCGCGGTTTTGTTGTGCTCGTGAACACACAGCATTACAGGGGGAATTCTGCAAGGTGCTTTTAGACATATAATATATATAAAATATGACATAATCCTCGATGGAAAATAGTCTAGGAAACGCTGAGGGCTTTCCCGGGAGGTGTTCACCTAAGCTGAGTGAAGCTGACCCCCAGAGAGAGAGAAAAGGCAGCGCTGTCAGCCAGACTGCACGACCCACCCTGCTCTGTTCTGATTGGGTAAAACTTTGACTCTGGTTCTCTTTATTGGATGAAAGAACCGTCAGTTAGACGGTAGACATCCCTAGATGGACGGCTTTAACAAGTTTTTTCTCCCGTTCATTTTTACAATGACAAACACTCGCGGAGGAAAACATTAATCGAGGTCTTTTTTTCTAGGTTGTCCACCAGACAACCAGGAGGTGGGATCTGGTTGTCTGAAATGAAAATAGGTTGTCTCGGACTTGTGTCAACCCGTTTTACGTTGATTAAATAAAAWAAAAAAACCTTCATTCCGAAGATGTGGCGGCTTTTATTTAGCCGTGGCGGTGCGCCACGATCAATTACATGTAGGGGAAACCCTGAACACTAAACTCACTCAGATTAGCGTAAAATAAATCCTGTTTTATAATMAAATGTCTGTTTCCTGCTATAAAAGAAAAATCCTTCTCCTGTCCGCCTTGTTCCTAACTAGGGTAAGAGCGGGGCTGGAGACTGTCCCAGATGCCTTTGGGTGAAGGCAGGGGACACCTGGACAGGTCTCCATTCTCCATCAGGGACATAAAAGAGACAAACAACCATCCACACTCTGTCACACAGAAGAGTTCCAGAAGGTTTCAAACTGAGAACTCTGGACTCAGATCATCTGCTGCTGCACCGAGTCCTAATCACTTACTATAAATAATAATTTACTACGATAAATTATTATTGATTTGCATAGTGTTAAACCAGTGTCAATGATACCTACTGGGAACTTCTTCAGGACAAAAGCAGCATGGTTTCTGTTGCTCGCTTGTATCCTTCACTGCGTTCCTGTGGGAGACWGGGATCCTGACTGGGGTGAACTCCAAACCAAGGGCAGTAGTGAACAGGTGTGGGTAGGGGCTGTCCACAGCCTGTGGTGGAGCATCGCTGGAGGAGGAGATGTGATGCAGCTTGCTGCCGCAGTTACACAGGGAACAGGAAACAGGTGAGGCAAAAGGCCCTCGTGGAAAACGAACTTGGTCTTGATCACCGTACTGCCGCTGAGCACCACTGTGGTGATCAGATCTCTGTCGCTGCCACACAAAGTGAAGGTGCACAATGGCCATTACCTGGGAGACAGAAAAACACACAAAAAGCATTGTGAAAGGGATATAAAAATTGCCTCATTCYGGGAACTGATAACTAAATTCCCAGAAAAACACCCTTCATCAGCCTCATATTTAAACAGCTATTTGCACCTCCTCACAGCAGCGCCGGCTGACAGCAGCTCTGTACTGGATGCGAGCCCACAGCTCGTCTCGTTGCTTGAGAAAACGAGGAAAGCGTCTCCTCCAGTTCTTGCCCAGAGCCCATGGAAAGATTTCATACTTGCTCTCCTCCTCATCCTCCTCCATAGTGTTGGCAAGGTAACTAAACACAGACAACAGAAGTTGAAGGAAATCTGGCCAAAAGAAACAAAAATGCAAATCTAGACTTTTTTTAGAAAAGATCTAAATGTTGAAATAAAAATATCTTTAAACTTACAGAGCAATGAAGAAATTTTTTCTTGTGTATTCGTCAACTGTGAAGCGGGCCCGTTTGAAGTACACAAAGGTCATGGCTAAAAGGTACTAAGGAAATATGGGAAAATAGATGGAATAAATASAAAAAGCTTTATTAGGGTTTGTTTTTTTAAAGTAAGTTTTACCTTGTCTGTCATTTTGTAGCAACAGTCCATCCTCAGAAAGTCTTGAATCAGGTCATCATCTAAAACCACAAACACCATGCCAGTCCTTTAATAATAAGCTTGCATGTAAGACTACTCGACTACAAACGCATCATTTAGTTTATTTACCAAAAAGACGCAAGTATGATGTCATTTCCTGACGCTGAATGATAGTAGTTGTAGGCATTTTAGTGTAACTTTTGTCACGTTGACTGGACTGGACCTTCCACAGCGAGCCATCCATGTCCTGACCATTGACTCTATTTAGGCAGACATGTCTTCTGATCTGACGGACATTTTTGCGTTTGACCCGCAGAGAGACAGAGGGAGAAGTTTTCATCATGCAACAACTTGTGTCATCTGTAGAGGACACTGGTATCTGTTGATTGGAGATGGAAGAAAGATAAAAAAMATTAGATTTTTTTTTTTACTAACTCCTTATTGGGTACAGAAAATTTGGGTACTCATAAAACTGTTAAGAGTTTGGGATAAAACAGCCWTGTTTTGTAGGCCTGTCCAGTTAAAAAATTATTAATAACAATATTAACAAAATTAGTAATATTTTAGAGTCAGAAAGTGTGTTATGGATTTACCAACAGAAGAGAAACAGAAAAACTTGTCTAATTTCCTAAGCAAATATATTTTATCTCATTTACCTTAATGTGACTGTGAACTGACCGAAACTGAAGCTAATAATTAACCGTTTAAAATTAAAATAAGCTTATAAAGCTTATTTATTCACTGTTATTTATTTAATTGGTTAGTAGATATTGGCTACTGTATGTTTTACAGTGTGGCTCTCTGCTTAATCATGCTAATATTGAGCACAATTTGTAAAATTTTACAAGATATTTTTCCCCTCCGATTTATGTACTATTTACACCGTGTAAATATAAATAAATATATATATATATTTAACTATTTTTAGTTTTCTATTAGACAAACCTGACCTGTTGAAAAAATGGTTAGCTAATCAGTAGAGACAAGTTGTTCTAAGAGTCCAGTCGACTGGTAAATATTTGTTTTTAATATATGTGACAGTAAGAAATAATAAATAAACTTTATAACTAGGTGAAGCCATAATTTTTCAACTAAATAAAAAGTTATTGACTGACATCAGATCTGGTTTAGATCATTGCTGCTTATATAGTTTTCTGGTGTATATTGTGC